GGACGGTTCCTTCTGATCATATTTCAGTATTCCCATTCTGCAATTGTTAATTGTCTGAATGTTTTTAGACAGTGCTCTCTGAAGACTTTTCTTTAAAGTAGCTATTTATTGTTTCTCTCTAAACAGTATTGCCAGGGTGTGTAGTGTACTGCAGTTTTTATCTATTCCATCCTCACAACAAACAGCTGTGTGATGGCCTTTGCATAGGGTCTCTTCCAGCTGTGCAGTTCTAAGATTATTATTCATAGTGCAGTCCTGTGTCTACTGGGAAGTAAACTTTGTTCAGTTTCCTGGAGCTTACTCCCAGGTAGGCGTGTGTTGGATGCTAGTTTCCCAGGTGGAGGAAATGAGCATTGAATAGGTTGGCTAGTATGCACTGAAGACAGAAATCTATTGAAGGAGCAGAGAAACAGATTCTGATTATGTGAACTGAAATAGTATGGAAGAGGGGAAATATTTATGCAAGTTTCCCAGTTTCACAGAACTCCTAATCAGGCATAAAGGAGAGGCAACTGCATGTCAGGGAGAGAAAGATTGACACTGAACTGCAGGTACACTTTAGGCCTTAGTTGCTTTGCATTTTGGAAGGGAGGTCATGACAGGATGTTTACTTTTGAGATAGGAGAGGTGAGATGGGGCTGGACTTCTTCAGTCAAAGTGTGTGTGGAAAAGGGTGCAAGTTGTAATCGCCTTTCCTTTCACGTGGGATAATGTATGGTCAGTGGCTGTTCTTTACTACTTATTATATTTTAATAATTCAATCTAGAACAAAAAAATAAATTCCAAGCATAAGTTCTAGTACACGAAAGCTGTTACAATAAATACTGCACACATACTGTACAAGTAATACTTGTTTTGTTTGTTCCATAATGTTACATAACTGTGCCATGGCTTGTGCAAATAGTTATGAAATAAGCATTTTTCTCACTTTTAAGAAAATACTTGAATATTGCATGTTCCTGTATACTTCAGAAACATTATCCTCTGTTTGTTTGTTTGTAAGCCACCCCATTAGTGCATGCACTACACTTTTAGCACTAATAACAATTTGTGACAGCAGAAAAATTAATTTCATTACAGGGCAGCAAATTCAGTTAGAAACTAGGATAAATCTTAGGAATGAGACTTTTTTACCCCTAGGATATCTAGACTGTGATCCTAAATAACTTTACAAGTGAGAATATCCAATTCAGCTCAGTGGCACTTACTTCTCAGTACAGTGTGTAGTGGACTGATGGACCAGATGAACTCAGGAGACTTTAGGATGATGGGTTCAGCCATGGAAGCTCACTGGAGAGATGGTATCACTGCTAAATTATCATTGTAATGTGCCATCAAGTCAATGCTGACCTTTGGCAAATCTTTTCAGGGTTTACTGGGTAAAAAATACTCAGAAATGGTTTACCATTCCCTTCTTCTAGAGGCGCCCGGGGACTGTGCAACCTGCCCAAGGCTACACAGGTTGGCTGTTCTTGGATGCACAGTGGGGATTTAACTTCCAACCTCTGGCTCTGCAGCCAGATACTGAGCTGTCCATCAAGCTTGGCACTGCTAAAACCACTCCTTGAACATCTCACCTATCTTGAAAACCCTATTAGGGTCACTATAAGTTGGCGAGGCATAACAAAGTACCATTGGATCGTGCTGTCACGTAGCCATGCCTTCTGGCCACAGCTGATTGATTATTCTTTAACAAACTCCAGCAGTGGTAAAAGTTATGAATACCCAAGTTTATTAATGCAAGTTGAAATTAAAATTAAAAACTATATCCTACAAAAAGGTACTCCTGCTGATGGCAGGATCATCCGGTCAAAAATATTATGGTGCTGAGGCAGAAGAGCAGACCTCACTCCAAAAGTTAAGGTGCATATTCCTCCAAATCAGTCACAATGTAATTTGGGCATCTGACGCAATAAATCCAAGACCAAATACAGTACTACCAGATATTGAATATTTATGTGTAAATGAAGCATGCTGGCAGGACTTTTCATGGGGCTAATAACCTTTCCTGGTACAGTTCTCCTTGAAAACAATGTGTGTGTCCCCACCCCAACATGCCTTGGTTATATGTCAAGCCCTAGTCACCATAAGATTGTTTCTTACGTGGCTGGCAGCCATGCAGACAGTAGCCCCTTTTTTGCAGAAGTGTTGCTATCCATGTGAAGAAAGGACAGGGTGGTGGGGGCTAGGCAAAGTAGGCCTGAATAAAGCTTTAGAAAGCTGCAATTTTGCCAACCTGTGCAGTAAATTTTGTGGTGGGGACTTTTGGGGAACATGGCAGCAAGAGGGAGGGAGCATTTCAGCCCCCCCGGGCCATGAGTTACCCAAACAGGACTTAATGGAAGAGCTGGAGATGGCTATTCAGGATGGCAGTCAGGGTCTTTCTCAGCATTATCTGGAAAGAGTCCAGGAAACGAGCATGAGACTGTGCAAGCAGAGAATGTGCCCTCGAACTGATCTGCTTCCTTTTTCAAGAGCTTTGCAGAATGAATGGCTAATAATCATGTCTGACTGTTCCAGCATTAGAGAGATATCCATTTGGGGAGTTTCCAGCTGCTTTCCTTCACATGTTTTCAGAACACAAAATCAGACAATTGTAAAGCTGGAAGGGACTTCCAAGAGTCATCAGGTTTGACCCCTGAATAAAAAGGAAGTTACAATTAAAGCATCCATCCAACCCCAGCCTAGAAATCTCTAATGAAGGGGGGGCATCACTTTCTGAGCGAGTCCATTCCACTGTAGAATAGCTCTTCCTATCAGAAGTTCTTTATAATGATTTGTCAAAACTTCTTTTAATGTGAAACGGATTACTTCAGACCCTGCCATCTGGAAACCAAATTTCTTCATCTTTCACATGACAACACTTCAGATAGGCTCACATCATCTCAGTCACCGTATGCAAATAGAAGTGGCGTATTGGAAGCAGCCCTGAGACTTTGTTTCCCAGACAAAGACATATTTTTCATCAGTCACTGTTACTTAGAAAATACTTGGAAGCCACTTAGAGGAGCCTGAGACATGCATTCTTTGAAGCAGAGGGCTGCATGTTTTGGACTACAACTCCCAGAATTACTTAGTGCTTATTCTGCCTGGGGAATTCTGGGAGATGTAGTAAAAAACCACACAAATATAAGACTTCTGCATAGAAATAAGCCCTGCTGACATCAAGGAAATCTACTTTCAAATAGACATGCATAGGGCCAGGATATACAGTGTAAATTAAATTTGTACTATAACATGTATAGTTGGCAATTAAAAAGCAAAACCTCTTTTTGTACAGTGCAAGGAGATAAATTTGAGGAAGTAATTCCTAAGCAGTGAGGTCAAGACTTCTGACTTTGGTGTGTGTGAGAGAGAGAGAATTGGGGAGGGGTGATCTGACATTTCAGCCTAGGTTTTTAGGAGAGTTCAGTGCAATAGGAGGAGAAGGAAAACTCCAATTTCAAACCTCCACTGCCTTGTGGCTATATCCACTCATGGAAAAGGCTTCAGGAGTTAACCTCGAGGCAAAATCCGGAGCTGGAGTCCCGAAGGCAGCATGTGTCGTTCTGCCAACTCCTGCGACATTGCTGGAACCAGTTGTATTGGCTCTTGCCTTTCCATTGGACCATTTCAGCAATGTGGAGAGAGGGGATCTGTTGCTTGGGTAATATCCTATCCTCCATATTACCTTACCCGGGCTTCATGCTCTGGAGAGGACACTCCTCGATTCAGAGCATGTTACCATAGTCTCTCGAGACTGAAGGATGCCTATGCTAGTGCAATAGGTCAAAGGCCTATATAAAGAATAGAATTGCTTGTAAAGTGAGCAGAGAGAAATATACTGTAGTTCTGGTTGTTTCCCAGAAATCACTTCCTCCTGTGGAACTCAGCACCACTTGATGAGATTTTATGATGTGCTTTCAGATCATCCAATCTGTGAAACCTACTCTGAATAGAGAGATGTTCCAGGATCTGATTGTTAGCCCAATTCCAGTCTCCCCTCATTTACCTTTTTCCTCCCATTTTCTTTTTCAAAAAATACAAGGAAATACACATCAACATAGTAATTAATACTGTACTTTTCGGGTATACCCCATCTCCCTGGGCATTCTGCTGCAAACGGAAGAGGGAAAGGTTTGTCAGAAGGGGGGGGGGGTCCTGACCAGAGAAATGGACTGCCTTCCTTTTGTGCTGTTAATGCTGTCTCAGTGTGAACTCTGTACAGCATGGGGATCAATAATAGAAGCCCCTGTTAATGTGCGCACAGCGGTTTTCCTGTTAAAAACATTGTTTTCTACTTGAAAAGTTGAATGATTACTTGAGCGCTAGTTAACTAGCTGGGTGACTACTAAAATATTTGGCAGCCTTAGCCGATACGTACTTGTTTGTGAATACTGATTACATTGAAAGTTTAAAAGCCTTGTACAAAATAATTTTTAAAAATACAAGACAATACACAACATTTTAATATGGTATTTATGTGGTTAATGAAAAGTTAATATTCTTCTCATAGTACAATTTGGCACCTAAAATAATAAAAGTGGGTGGTTTTGAGGCATTCCTGTTATAGTGTATGTGGGAAAGATAGTGAAATAGAAGAGGCTAAAATTCATCAGCTAAAAGCCCATGCATACTTTTACGGGGAAAAATCTCATAGAAATCAGTGGGACATGCTCCTGAATAAACATACCTAGAATCAGGCTGTTTTTTTGGTAACTTCTTGCCGAGCAGTATACTGTTTTATATGACACTGGTTGCACTACAAAGGAAAAGAGCTGTGGTTGGGAAGATAGGAATTTTAATTAACATTATAATTGAGCTTGACAAATTGGATAGTCTATTATTACCTAATACTGGAAACAACCAGTAGTGAGCCTAAGTGTGTATGTCTCCTATTGATGTAATCATCCCTTATTCACATAAACTTTCCCACTGACTCAAAATTGTCTTTGGATATTAAGCACTTGCAAGATCAAACTCCAACTTAAAATGGGAACTACATTCTCATCTATTACTTTGAGAATTCAGAATACATAGACACGGAACATGTACATTCCAGTAAGTTTAAAATATGCTTTCGGTGGCACAGGATGGTGATAGTTCCTGGAAGACTATTACAGAAAATAAAGGAAAATTAGAATTTTGCTTACACCATTGATTATGAGCAACTTGGTACATTGATCTATTTTTAATGTTCTTTTCAAACTATAGAATATTCTCTTTCCCTGAAAAATTCTATCTTTTATTTATTATATTTGTAATATAATGTTCTCTCTCCTTTAGACCCCATAATTCGTTTTTAATTGCTGTAGATGATAAATATCTTAGCAGTGTTTTTAAAACAAGGTCTTAGTTATATTTATTTAGAAGAAAATCACATTTGTTTTACTGGAAATTATCTGCTAAGTGCTTTGGGATTAGAAGTTTCCAGCTTTCAGTCTTTTTCCATTACAAGCCAAGTAATTCCCACTTTCGGTTGCCTTTTGTCCCATTAACCTTGTTTTGATGGCGTGATTTCAAAAATCCCTTCTGTTTTCTAAATAAAGAGAGCAAACATTATTTATTTATTAAAATATACCTTACCTTTTTGCAACAAAAAAAGCATGTGTTTAAACGTGGTGAATCATTGCTGCTTTCATGAAGAGAGAAAATTTACCTGATTTGGGAAAATAGAGAAGGAAAAGTAAGCATAGAGGAGAAAGTCTGAGAGACAGTTGGGAATACATCTTTTACCTCATGGATAGGGAGAGAATGTGGCTTTCTAGATGTTGTTTAGACTGCACTTGTCCTCATTCCTCACTACTAGCCCAGCAAAAGGATCATGGGAATTCTGGAAGGCCATACATTTCCCACCCTTGTTTTAGGCATAAAATGTGAACTATGTATATTCACATCTGCTAACCTGTTCATTGTTGAGTGTTGTGTGTTAACTAAATGCTAGGCTTCACAACCCACCCCCATAAAATACAAGTTTTCACTGGCTTATCATTTGCCCATAAGCAAAGATCCTACTTTACAAGAAAATTGATTGATCTTCCTAAGCCTTCCAGTGATAACATATTACCCCTGTCATCAACATAATATATGGGGGTTTGTGCTGCATGTTGAAGTAAGGGAGTCAATTCAAAAGAAATCAAGCTATACCACATGCTGTTTGAACAAGAAAAAAAAGAAAATCCCCAGTCCAAGAGTCGCTAGTCAGTCTGATCATAAGGGAAATATGGGATGGAAAAATTCATGGGGGGATTCTGAGCTAAGAGGAAATTCTTTGTCATCTGAATAGATTGACAGCTGAGTAATCCTGGATCTCCAGTTCTGCTCTGTTAGGTACACCCCAGGGTATTATCTCTAGAACAGATATAATTCAAAGAACCTTTCTTAGATGCAGTTTTATTTTCCAGCAGTGGTGCTTGTTGACTTTTAAGATATGACAAAGACCATTCATAAATTCTCTGGTAACGTATATGACATCAATGTCAGAGAAGTTGATTGCTTTGTTTGCTTACTTCCATTGGAGAGGGAACTTAGAACAAAATTCCTCTGTGAAGTAAACCATGAGTACAAAGTTTTGTACTATGTGCCATACTGAAAGAGGAAGGTATTTTTCAAAATTAACTCATTTTACTGTCGGTGTGCCTTCTTAGGTTTCTTCTTGCAAATGGCTGGCTCACAGATCATTCCTCAAGCTTTATACTTGAGCAACATGCTGAAAGCTGTGAAGATAAGAGAGAGAATGCCTGAAGACCTTGTCAAGTGTGCCAGTGGAATAATCCATCATTTTAAGAGTATGCACAAATATACTGTGGAGATGTTTAGAATATGTCAGTTTTGCCTGGCATTTCAGGAGATTCTTCAAAAGGCACTTATTGATCAAGCAACCCAAACCTCACTAGAACGTCAACAGAAGCTCAACTGGTGCCGAGAAGTTAAAAAACTTCTGCCATTAAAGACTAATGGTGAGTCAGGTTTATTTTATCATCTGGTAGTATAAATGTGCTATTTGCTTATTTGGTTAGAGAATCATAAGTTAACATTGCTTAGTTAACATTGCCCTTCTTTTAGAGTTTGTTTCCCTCCTCCTTTTTAATTGACATGTACGCCTATTATCAAACAAACACTTAGGTATAAATTATGTCAAATTTCATAGCTCTGTGTAGTCAAAGTCTGGCATTGTCCTTGAGAACATCGGTATCTTGGATTCAAACACTATATGTGTGTACTGACCCACATCTAAAGTGATCTTATGAACTATAGCAGTAACTATATACAAAAGACTTCATGAACACTGATTGAGGTTGCATATATTGCAGTGAAGCAACCAATAAAGATATGCAAGTAATTTGAACATCCCTTTTCTGTTCTCTTGGCACACTGTCCATGACAGTAAACTTTTATTTCCTCCATTGTTCATGGCACTACCTCACTTCATCCGTAATTACCCTTGTGTAACTAGAATCTTGAACTAATTTGCTCTTAGGGTTACTATTTTGTTTTCCTTTAGGCAACCATTAAGTTCAATTATTCAATAATATTTCTCCTACCGTTCTTCCAGAGGCTTCAGGACATTGTGCATGAGAATAGTTCCATTCTGGAATACTTTAATAAAACAGTGTTGGCCTTCGTTCCATACAGTGATATTTTTAAGTGTGCTTAAGAGCCAGTGGCCCATCCTCACTTTATCAGCAGAGTGAGAAGGCTGTTATATCATTCTATTCAGTGGAAATTACAGTGTAATAAGTATTCCCATTGTTTTACAGTCAGCTTGCACTGTTGGGGAATAAATTGCCATCAGGGCATGGTGAGAATATTGGATGGTGTCTTCTTGCTGTATTGATAGATCGCTTAGCTGGAGCACTCCAGGACCACATCTTTTTTTCTGCTTCAATAGTTTGTTTCAAAACTGGGGCCTCATTTCCAGTGTAATGGTAAACCCTATTGAAGCAATGGTTTCTGTATATTTCTGTGGAAAGACGTAGGAGGAGGTGCACATAGGAAATGCACAGGCTTCTGCTTCAGACATAACAATAAAAGCATGGAAAGAGGATGTGCACACATCCTCATTTTGTTACTTCCTCTAATGTCTATAGTATTAGCAACCAATAGATAGTGGGCTTCTTTGTATAATGCATTCATTGCCTTATTCCTGGCTTCCACATTCTCCATTATCCTAAGCATAGAACTGGTATCTAACCAGGAGACGTGGCTGGGGTAAAATAAAATCAAGTAAACCCACTCAGGCAAAAAGAAGAAGAAAGAGCAAATACATACGGATGTATGCCATTGCATCCAAAAATGGGATTCAGGGCTTTCTTTGTAGAAGTTTTATGAATGAATGGATCATTGATTTGGCAACTGCACAAGAAGTTAAGAAGGAGTCCTTTTCATTTAAAGGAATGGATTGGTCCCAAAGGAGGGCAGTCTCTTTCCATGAGCTACCTTATTCAAAAAATACAGAAGCCACTGTTGACACTTATGTTATTTTCCTGCATTCACAGAACTCCATGGGAGACCTGTGAGGTTGCCTAGTTTTTTGCTTCAGTTTTTCTGAACTCATTTTGGAACTTTGACTGTATCTCCAGAGTGAACAATTAGCATAGGAAATGACAAAGCAAACTTTGTGATCCATCCTGTTCCAAACGTTGGGAGTCTTTTGTATACACAGCTGTGTAGAGAAGGGATTTCCATTAAGCCAGCCTTGCCAGGCTTACCACCCTCCTAATCCATTGGACGACAACTCTGATCATTCCTAGAGAGCAAGTTCATGTGTGCTGGGATGCTGCAGTTCATAGTATGGTACCTGGGGAAGGTACTAGGAGTGGGAAGCCTGCCACAGGCATTTTGCTGAGTTTATCCCCTTACCCATTGGCTAGCTGCAGTGGTGTATGCCAGCAGCCTGGAGATGTCCTGTAATGAACACAACAGCAGATGTCGTGGAGAAGCTGAAAGCTTTAGGACTAGAGGGTGGTCTGCTCAGGAAGTGTACATGAACTCTCTATTTCGTATGCATTGCTTTGCCTTTAGATGAGATACTTTATGCTGTAAATAATAATAGTGGGAGATGAAAAAGCAATTTGTTCATTGCCAGTAGGCCCAAAGTTGACTGCATGCACTTTTAGGAGATACAGCTTAGTTGTGAGAGCAAGGAAACAAAATGCACTCATCTATACAGTAACACAATGTTTACACACACACACACACACACACACACACATCATACAAAAGTGACCTGAAGGTCTGAAAATCAGGGCGACACACAAGCTGTGTCTGCCTTTGAGGATATTGGGAAGAAGCCCAATTGTGGATTTTTTTTTTACAAGGTGTGAAGGAAACCGTAAGGTTTAAAAAAGATCCTGACATCTCCTGACTAGCAATTTCGCTTCTCTAATGAATAGGCATTCCACCTTACCCCAGCCACGCCCACTTGGAAAGTCCAGCATGTACTTCGCAGTTCAAATGCCTGCACCTCAGAACAAGAAGTACAATAGCTGTTACTCAATTGCTAGTCAAATAGCTGCACGTTGGGGAATTCCAAATGTTGCTTAGGGAATTTTAGGCTGGTGGTTCTTAATAAAGAACTGAAAGCAAGCACACATGAGGAAAAAAAAGACTTCTTATCTTTGCTCTACATTTTGCAAAGGGAAAATTTTTTTACAGGATGTAATAATGATCTAGTTGCATATGTGTGTTTGCAAAGCTTGGAGACTGTAAATCAGTCCTGCAGTAAATGTCCTTACTTTCTTCTCTACCAGGACCCTTACCCGTAAAAGCTTTTGTTTTAGGAGTGGTTACCTGAATGCTGTTTAGGAAACTCAGTATACTATTGTGACTGCGCTTTTGGAGTTGCTTTACTTCAAATGAAAGACTAACAGTGTTGAATACATTCATCATCAAGAAAAAAATGTTTGTGCTTTGAGGATGAGAGAGATCATATTTTAGTTATGGGAGTGAGAAACCTCTGATGCAAGAAAAGGGGAGCAGTGCACAGATCAGAAGTGCGAAAGTGAGAATTTGCTGGTATATAAATCTGTTTATATCTACAGGAGCCTCGTGGTGCAGTGGTTAAATTGCAGTACTGCAGTCTGTACTCTGCTCACGACCTGAGTTCTCTCCTGACAGATTCAAGTAGCTGGCTCAGGCTGACTCAGTCTTCCATCCTTCTGAGGTTGGTAAATTGAGTACCCAGCGTGCTGGAGGATGGGCAATGGGTAGCCTGCATAAATTATAAAACGGCCCAGAAATACTGTATAAGCAGCATGCTTTTTGTTTGCTTATTTGTTGCATTTATATGTGAAGATATCAGTTGAATATCAGGAAAAGCTTCCTAAGTGTTATAGCAGTACAACAGTGGAACCAGTTACCTCGGGAGTTGGTGAGTGCTCCAACACTGGAAAAGAAAAATTTAATCACCTGCCAGATATGCTTTGATTGTATTCCTGTATTGAGCAGGGGGTTGGACCTGATGGCCTTGTAGGCCCCTTCCAACTTCACTTTTCTATGATTCTATATCCTGCTTTTCCTCCGTCGACTATCCATAGCTCTCTTTCTCCCTCCTTTGTCCTTGCAACAGAGCTCTGAGGCAGGTCAGGCAGAGAGGAATGACTGGCCCAAAGTGGATTACATCGTTCAATGAGTAGTACAGTGGTGGCTTGCATGGCGATGTTAATCCGTGCAGCAAAAATCGCTGCTAAGCGATTTCGTCGCTATGTGATTTTTTAAAGCCCATACAAACACATTAAAACCTATTTAATGCGTTCCTATGGGCAAAAAACTGACCTTAAAGCAAAGATCCTCCATACGGTGGCCATTTTCACTGCCTCTTAAGCAAAGAATCAGCGTGAAAACACAGCGGATGGCCATTGTTTTTACCCGGCGGCCATTTTGGAACCGCCGATCAGCTGTTTAAAAATCATCGCTTTGCGATGATCGGAAAGCGAAACAGGGAACCAATCATCACAAAGTGATAAAACCCCATAGGAAACATCGTGATGCGATTGCTTTTGCGATCGCAAAAATTTAATCGCTATGTGGTTTTGTCGCTAAAGGGAGCGCCCGTTAAGCGAGGCACCACTGTACCTAACTTGCCATTTAATGCATTTTCTAAAAGCCAAATGAAAGTCATTTCTGTATGCTGCCACCACACGAGAGCCAATGTGTTATAGTAAATAGAGTTCAAATCCCCTCTAACTGAAAAGTAGCAATGGTGAACGACTGCTTAAACAATTCACAGCCCTTGAAAAGCCTATTAGGGTTTCCATGTGTTGAAAGTGACTTGATGCTACATTATGCACATGCAGTACAACTTAAGTGATTTTTTACAGTCACCCAAGAGATGACATGGGGGGGGTCATTTCCCCATGTTTTCCACTCTCATCATTCCTAGGGCTATCCCTTCTCCATCAAACCATCCAATAATGATCTTTGCTGCAAATGTATTGTTGTAGTGTTCTCTCTAAGTCAACCTAGGTGGGAGAGAGGAATCCACTTTATGGGACAGTTTTAATGGAAGAGCTCCCACCTCATGAAACAGAGCTTTCGTTTCTCCGGGTTTTTGGTAAGGGAGTGGAATTGAGGAGAGGTAAAATGGTTTACCGCACTGCAGATGCTTTAGGAAGGCCACACACAAAGTGTGAGCCACTTGTGGTAAAAAAAAACCTGCAGCAATATGCAAGGTCTAGCAGAACTGGTTGGCAAGTGCACTGCAAAGAGATCGCAGGAGATCCTAATTTCTCACCTGGGGTGGTGTTTTCCTCCCATTTGGGTAGTGCAAAATTTAAAGCAAAGTTGTCTCCTTTCACATAACCCCATGTAGTCCTTTCCTGGAGAAGTTCACTGTTTTAGGAGTTCCCCATCTAACAAGGCCCATGTCTGGAACTTTTTAGTGTTGAGTACTGTGTCCTTGGAGAGAATGCAGAGTGCTGCAGCAGTGGCTGTTTTGAGAAACTGCAGCTAGGGCAGATAATGCAGTGTTGTTGGTGGAATTTTCCATGAGGTCTAGAAACTTGCGTGTGTGTGTTATATAGGAATGACAAAACTAACATTCTCAAGATTCTGAACAGATTACTTCTGAAGAGAGAGAAAAGGCCTTTTCATTGCAGCTCTTATATTCTTAGTACCAAATTTACATCCAACAGTTTCTTATAAATCGACTTTTATTTTCTCTTTTGCTTTCCCATTTGTCTGACTATACTAGGAAGGAAAATACAGTGCTTGTAAAATCCAGTGCTGATTGCTCTGGCTGATGTCAGCTTTTTGGGAAGTTATACCTTTGGAGTAAAAAAATTCAAAATTTGAACTAAAACATTTTCAATCCTATCTTCTGTGTTAGATTTTAAACACACATGCATGACAGTTGGCGTAGGCAAATCACTCTAGTTGTGTCATCAGTTCAATAGATTGACTTACATTTTGTAACTTATGAGGCTAAAATGCATTCTTTTGAACAGCAAGGATAATGGCTGCTGGAAAATGGATAAACATTAAACTTGTGGGACTTGATGCATAGATGTGCATGGGATCTATATGCAGATAGTGTTGTATAATTTTAGGGGTTTTTTTAAACAACCTTTGTATCTGCATTTGCTGTTCTTTCACTTCTGAATTAAGATGCTCCTACCCAGTTTGTTTGCACAGTAATTATTATTTTGGCTGTGTGCATATCTTTAGAGATCAGTATAAAATGTTAGTTCTGTTCCATCAGGCTTCACCAGAAACCTACCTTTTACCAACAGGATTCTTGCACATAGAAAGGCATAGCAGTGGATCTGGTCTTGTTTTCTGCATGTAACAGTATCCTGTTGCAGTACAGTGCAGTCAGAACTCTTATTATGTGTATTGGTTGGCTGGCAAACTTGGTATGAGAATGCAGGATTTGAAAAACCAGAGACTTGTCTGTCTTCAGCTGAATGAAATGGAACAGGAAGCCTAGACTCAGACGATACTGTGACAGAGTAAAAATGAGTAACATTGTATTCCATTTTTCTTTTGTTGGGAATTTTCCAAGAAATGCTCGAAGCATTGCCAGCTTATATGGCACTGACTGAATTTTGAAGGTCCTCATTTGAACCATGTGTGCTATCCATTATGGGATAGCTAATTTGAAAACAAAAAAACACATTGGCCTTTTCATTCCGTTGCAGGAGACGGAAATTGCCTTATGCATGCTGCTTCCCAATACATGTGGGGCGTCCAAGACGTTGACTTGGTTCTCAGGAAAACGCTGTTTAGCGCACTCCAGGAGGCTGATACACGCAACTTCAAGCTGCGCTGGCAACGGGAAACACTGAAATCACAGGAATTTGTGGCAACAGGGCTCTGCTATGATACCAGGGTAAGAGATTTGGGATTTATACAAGCAACATAACATTTCGCAAGCTTGATCTGGTTAGGATTGTTAATGATATTCTCTGCATAATTATACAGGATGGGTGGCAGTTATGGCAACAGGTTTAAGGAAGTAAAATTATAGGGCTGTCACAACTAGTTAAAACATTTTAGTCCATTAACTTAACAGGATTGCTCAATTCTTTAATCAAAGAATTTAACTGCTGTAAAGTTTCCAAATTAAGTAACCACCTTCGAAATGGATTATTTCCATGGACCACCCACATCTTTGGAAAGTTGGCATGCCTCTGTTCTGCCTGTTAGAGAGAGATGCCCTTGGGATAGCTGTTGCTGCACAAGCGAAAAATAAAGAACACAGTTCTGTTTCTTAAGAACATACAGGTAGACATAGGCTTCCCATACTAGAATTGTTCCCAAGTGAGGCTTCCTTCCCCTTTTTCAATCCTTCTGTAAAAAAACAACAACAGCAACAACACATCCACTTGAAAGGATAAATTGGCCTATGGGTTGACAGGCGCTTCCTCTCTACACAGTAGCCTATCTGCCTGTCCTGAAGCAGTAGTCTAGCTGACCTATCTATTGATCATTCTTTAACAGGTTTAATGTTTATTCACCAGCTGAAATCCTGATGTTCGACATAATAAGATGCAATAGGGTAGGGCCCACCGGATGAGTGGGGATTTGGTAAATCAACCTCTCTATAAGTTCCATGGATTCAAATGGGCCTACTCTACTTATGGTTGCAACTAGAATAGGCCCACTTGGTTGAGCGGAACTTACAGAAGCATCCACTTATTACATCCCCACTGTAGTAGGCCTCAATATAGGGATCAGCCTTGGATCCATGGGCTTACAGAGCCTCTTTGTTCTCCCTGTACATCCCTGGATTGGTCCCCTAAAATGAACTGGATTCAGTTAGAGCAAGGCCTGCACCTTCTTCTGAGGTCACTCTTGGATCTTGTAGCTTGCCCAAGGCCACCCTGGCTGGCTGTTCTTGTGGAAGGCATAGTGAGGAACTGAACTCCAAACTCTGGCTCCACGGCTAGGTATTCCAGCTCAGCTAGCTCAGAACAAGAACAACCAGGTGGAAAATGGAGGGAAAAATCCCTGCTTCAAGCAAGCAGGTTCAAGATCTAGCCGTGGCTGTAATGTGGATCTCCTCAGTGTCCCTCGTACATGGTATTGTTCAATAAGATTAAATATAAAAAGGAGTCATCCCCATGAAACATACCAGGACTTATTTCCCAGTCAACGTGCATGAAGCATATAAAAAAAGGAATCAATAAAAAGTCTGGCTACTTTTTAAAAGAAAAAAAGTAATATCCTTTGCAATGTATGTATGTATTTGATTTATATATCACTCCTTTAGAGAAAACACTATTCCAGATGGTTTACAAATTAAAACTCAGAACATCAAATGTATAACAACACAATCAACATGGCAGTTCACCAATCTAGATCTAAAATTAATATAAAAAGGAAAATAAAACACAAGAAAAGAGGAAAAAAATAATATTAAAAGTATCCGGGTGATAAGTTATACAAGGCGGCTTTATATAATTTATTTGCAGTATAATGATGTTTGTGGAAAGCTGGTTTGGTTGGCTCTCGTAATTTAGTTGTAGTATAAGAAAAAACACTTGTGAAGGAACTTCTGGTTTGTAAAGACCCCAAACTTACATGATAATAAACAAGGCTATTTACACATAACAATATTTTTCTCCATTAGAACTGGGAGGATGAATGGGAGAACCTCATCAAGATGGCATCTGCAGAAACGTCAGTTGCCCAAGGAGGCCTTCAGTATAACTCTTTAGAAGAGATTCACATATTCGTCCTTGTTAACATCCTAAGGCGGCCAATTATAGTTGTTGCAGGTAAGAATTTATAGATTTAAGGCCCCATTGTAAAAAGATGTGTAAGTTCCCCTTCAGTCCTTCTCTCGCATAAGCCTGTTGAGGGTTAGGGTTAAGGCCAGCTGACCCCACTTTTGTGTCCCACCCAACCACCCACATTGGACATTTATAGGTCGGAAAAGTGTCTTCAGTGGAAAGGCTGCTTAAGAGTTCTTGGCTCTCACTGTTGAGATCAGGACTTCACATGATGGGAAAGGCCTACACTCATTGGTCAGACTTCTGCATTGCAGACATTCCTCCAGACTTTTATGGGGTGTGACAGGGAATATTTGAAGGGCCTGTAAATCCTACTTGTGTCGTCCTCCTTTATTTTGATATCACACAGGCTTCCCTCAAGCATGCCTGTTCAGAAATAAGTGCTGTTATATTGTAGAAAGGGCACAGACCTTTTGTGACACAATGGTAGCATAGAAGAGACCACACCTCTAAGAGGACAGTCTGGACATCACTTCGGTGTGATAGAAATGGAACTGGGAACTTGTAACTTGGAAGATAAATGACTGCTGTTCATGAGAATAGAGGATGCCTCAGATTGTTTGGCTTAAATTGTAGTGTATCTATGAACTCTGCAGTTCTGTGGTGGTGGTGGTGATAATTAAATTCCCTATATGGGATGATGATAATTAAATTCCTTATATGGGATGTGCTGCTTACATCATGGGTTCTATAAAATAGTGTTTAAAACAGGCAAGTTTTGTTTTGTTTTGTTGCCAACTGACCTTTCAATAATTCTAGAAAATGAAAAGAGAGGCATCTCCCTTGGTGTGTTAACTGCATTCCTCTTTCCTTTTCCTTGAAACAGACAGAATGATTAGAAGCTTACAGTCAGGTTCTAGTTTTTCCCCTCTGAATGTTGGTGGAATTTACTTGCCTCTCCATTGGCCGCCAGAAGAGTGCTACCGCTATCCCATCGTCCTCGGCTATGATAGCATGCACTTCACACCGCTTGTTGTTCTGAAAGACAGCGGCCCAGGTATGTCTCTGAACATTTCTCACATGTTTTGTCCAAACCAACCAAGACACAAGCCTGTTTTGATTGCCGTATAGGAAATACTAACCTTCAAGGGAATTACGCCTTACATTTTGAAGTAGCCCATGACTAAGCTTTAGAGAACCTCAAGGCCTGCAACCAAATCTACCACCCAGTATATTTTAGATTACCACACTTCCCTGTGACACCACTGTTTCGAGATCTTATTGTGTTTGTACTTTCCTCTTTCTCCCCAAAGTTCCAAAAATTTAAAATGCTTCTGCTAAGACTTAGTTAATGACAGTATGACCTTTACACTAAATATGTTGTATTTTTTGGTTCCTACCCTTTTGCTTCAGACTCTACCCACCACTGAAATTTCAGCCCCTCAGAACTTCCCTGAATTTCAGTGCAGCCCTCAGGCTGAGAAGAGTTACTGACTCTGCCCATACCCATAATTCCAGTACAATTGTATTATCATGCCTTTGAGTTTAGTTATTGGTGTTTGTTTTTGATTTCGGGCTTGTTTTTGCTTTTGTTTCAGTTTGTTGGTGAGGGTTGTAAAATTCTGACTAAACATTGCTCTCTGTTGCATTGCATCTCTTGCTGCTTTCTTTCAGTCATGAAAATAACATTTTATCCCCTCTCCCCCATCCCTTCCACAGAAATCCGGGCAGTCCCATTGGTCACCTGTGAAAGAGGCAAGTTTGAAGATCTGAAGGTGCACTTCCTAACAGACTCTGAAGAAAGGGAGAAAGAAAAGCTGCTAAGAGAGTACCTAATAGTAATAGAAATTCCAGTGCAAGGCTGGGATCCTGGGACAACACATCTCATTAATGCTGCAAAGTGAGTCCTACTTTTCTCCCAGCATTATAATATGATGATAAATCTTCTTGTTGAGTATTCGATCCATCCTCTCCTTTCGATTGCCCTTACTAAAAAGTTAGTTACTTGCTTTTAGTATTAGACACAGGTGCCTTGTATTCGTTTCTCAGATGAAGCACGGCACCACAGGGGATGCAGATTCCCTTTCCCCCACCCATCCCCCAGGCTAGCCAGGCCACTAATCAAGCTCCACGCATCACTGGGGTCCTTCTTTGGCAGCAGCACACCAATCTAGGCAGGAGCCCAGCCCTGCCTCCCCAGGCAACCAACCATTCCAACCCCCTTTCCATGGCTTCTTTTCCAAACAAAGTAGCACTTTGATAAACTGCATGCGAAAATCACTCCTGAAGCATTTAAGTAGGAAAAAAAAGGATATCTTTAAAGTTATCATTTGTAGTTCCGAAGAAGAAAAAGAAAGGGGAAGATAGAGTCTCCACCATGTGGAAGAGACCTCCCATGCTTGTTGCCTAGGTGGGGGTCAGAGGAAGAAGAAGAGCCATTAACTAAAACAGACAATGGAGGCGAACAAGCAAACAGGAAGAGGTTGACAGGGGCTTCCTTCAAATGCCAGAGGCAAGAAAAGAATTTTACCAAACAAATTGGTGACCAACAACAATCCCGTTAGGCTATAAAAGTGTTGTAAAATAGCCAGTGTTGCAAGATTGTTATTATCCCAACATTTCCCCCACAAACGTGGAGGCAGCACTTCCTTCCTGAAGCCCAGCTATTGCCCTTTTGGTTTCCTTATGCTATGCCGCCTTCCAGTATAAATGTCGCTTACATGGCTTTTGGCAATATCAGGTAGCAGCTGTTCTGACTTCCCAGTTTCCTTCCAGCATTTGCCAGTTTGCCTTTTCTCTGGCTCCTGATAACCAGTTTCTTGTTTCTTTTCCTTGCAGATTGGATGAAGGGAACTTGCCCAAAGATATTAATTTGGTAGAAGACTACTTTCAGCTAGTGCTACATGAGTACAAGAACTGGCAAGAGAACAGTGGGCCGAGCGGAAGGAAAACAGGCAGACGGGAGCAGCTGGAGTTGCACTTGCCCCAGCTGTCACTGGTGGAGGCAAAGTGTGAGACTCCCAATTGCCCTTTTTACATGTCCGTGAGCACCCAGCCCTACTGCCACGAATGCTTTGAACAGAAGCAACAGGGAAATAAGGGGAGGAAGCAGAATCTCCGGACAGGGTCTGAGAAATCCTGGGCAAAGAGTTCCAGTTCGATGAAAGGAGAGCTTGCCAAATTTGCAGCTCAGAGTTGTGAAAAGCCAGGGCCTGAAAAACCTCGCTCTGCACCTCCAACAGCCCCGAGCCTTTTTCTGTACAGCGAAACCACTGCCATGAAGTGCAGGACACCCGGCTGCCCCTTCACCCTGAATGTGCAATATAACGGACTCTGTGAACGCTGCTACAACTCAACAGGATTCAGCCCTTGCGACAATCCAGGTGAGCCAAGGCATCCAGACTGTGTGACATGTACCTTCTGCCGTAAGGACACCAATAGGACATTCAACGGGATGTGCAGCACTTGTTTCAAAAGGACTGCAGACTGCTTGGCCAACACCAAGGTGGGCATTGCACCTTCGGGCCATCAGAGGTCCACGTCTGACCCCACCCATTTGTCGCACAGTCTTTTGCAACGTTCTGGCCACTTGGTAGCCGGCAACAATACAGTAGAGCCATTGCCCCACATCCAGTCCCAGAGAGTGGAAGAGAGAAAAGGGACCAGTAAATGTAGGAAGCCAGGTTGCAGCTTTTTCGGAACGGTCCAGAACGAAGGCTTTTGCACACTGTGCTATTTTGAATACCAGGAAAATAAAGGTGAGTAAGTGATCGCCGTTCTGTACTACCATGCACTCACCTAAAGATTTGGAGAGGAAAAGCAGATGAAAAAGAGTGATACAGTGATATGTTGTCACAAGACAGAATGTAAAGCCGCAGCAGAAATGTTTCAACCTGTATTAGTCATTTACCGTCACTGCAAAAACTCCAGCGCTGTTCAGGTTTTGCTGAAGTGCACAGGAGAGCACCAATCAAGCTACTCACACTTGTGATCTTGCAGATGCATTGTGTTGTGGGGGCACAGGGGTTTAGACTGTTTTTTGAAATTTTGCTGGAAGGTTCTAAGTTCATAAAAGAGTAAGCCATTGTGGAACTAGTTGGATAATATGACATGCAGCTCTCCAGTTGGGCAAATCCATGATCTAAGGGCAGAGCACTGAACAAAAGAACTACTTAAAATACTGAGGAAAGCATTGTATTTTAAATTGTATTTGAATTGTTTTTATCTTTTTATTGAATTCAAATTGTTGTAAGCTGCTCAGAGACCTTTGGGTAGTGTAGGTGGCATATAAGTTAGATAGACAGACAGACAGACAGGATGATAGACAGACAGATAGATGATTGATTGATTTGTATTCGCGAAGGCTTTGATTGATTGATTTTTAAAAAATGCTGAACATAGGAAACTGCTCAATACCATATCGTAATGGTTGGCCCAGATATCTTGCTATTGCCTTCAGTGGCTGTCAGTGGCTGGCTGCTCAGATCAGATGGTCCCCCCCCCTTTCAACCTTACCTGAAAATGCTGGAGATTGAACCTGGCACCTTTTTCATGTAGACCAGCTGCCGCTATCCAGTGGCCCTTCTGCTCTTTTGAAAATGGATGCTGTTCATATTGTCCTCTTTTGTGTATTCACCAGAAGTGGTGTGGCGCAGAACAGTTCAGAAACTGACGCTGTATCTGAGAGTTCAATGTCAGCTGCACCTTGCATGTCTGCTAAGAGACACAGGAGCCCTTTCAAAAAATAAAGCTCTGCAAACTTGGTAGATTGTACGTCCCATAAGGGGTCGCTTTGAGATGCTGCTGGGCATGTAATAGTGAACTGATTTTCAGTTCAGTGACGAAAGAGTTATAGCATAGACAGTTTGGCTCTTCTCTCACTATGTCTTCAAAGATGGCCTTGATAGCTGATGTGACCGTTTTCTTCCTGTTCTCCATCACAGATACTTCGATGCTTCATGGCAGACGGTCACAGCGAACTTCTCCTGTGTTGGGGCACTCCGGAACCTCAGTCACAATATACCAGAACACTGTTTCCTGCCTGGGTCGAGAATGTGGCACGATAGGGAGCACCATGCTCGAGGGATACTGCCAGAAGTGTTTCATCGAAGCACAGAGCAAGCGGCTGCGGGAAGCCAGAAGGACTGAAGACCAGCAAGGGAGACAGCAAGAAGTCAGTAAATATACCAACATCATTCTTACCTAATTAATTCTGTGGCTTCCTTTCTAGAAAGGCATATATATCAATGTATTTTTTAAAAGTGCCAGAGTCTGATCTGAATCTAAGGTAGCTTCAAGGAGAGCTCTTAGAAAACATGGTGCATATTACAGGGAATCACTTATGTGTTCCATATTTTGCAGCCATTAGCATTTTCATGAAAATAGAGCTGCTGCCACTGCTGCTGTGTATTATTATTATTACCATTATTTAGTCATGTTTATATCCTGTTATTATTATTCTCCAAGGCAACATACCATGGATTTCAGCCCCACTTCCATATTAGAAGTAGGTCAGACTGAGGGAGTGGACCGTCCAAATTCACATTGAGTTTGATGGCTTAGTGAAGCTCTTAGATCCCAGACTACTAAATCTAACCACAACACTGCACTGGTTATCAAATCAGGGTGGATTTAATTTAAATTAAAAGTTGGATTTTTTAAAAATTTAAATTTTTTTAAAAATCAGTTTTTAAAATTTAAAGTTTTGATTTAAATCATGGTTTAAATAAATTTGAATTTTAAAAATCATTGCTCCACCCTGTGTCAATTGCATGTTTCCTTTTTCTTCTGGGAAAGGAACAACGTATTTGTTCTTTGCAAGCTCTGGGATGTTTCCGGGTAAGGCAAGCTGCATGGTCAGAATCAATCTTGGGTTTGGTTTTTTATTTTGGTTTTTTTCTGTTGGAGAAGAACCAGCAAGTGCCATTAGATCTCCCCTTTTGCTTTCCGTCCTTTGGAGCTTCTTGTCCGTATTGTGACAATAAAGATAAAAGCAACCAAAACATGGGCAAGGCCCAATTGAAGACCAGGCATGAGAGCGGTGCGGTTCTAATGCTTTCAGGGAGAGCTGACTGTGTTTTTGATGTTTCCAGCGCAGAGATCTTCAGCAGACGACTGCAAGTTCCCAAAAGCAGAGGTGTGCCACAGCTTCCTGTAGGAACAACTTGACTTCTAGGAGTGGGGAGCCGTGTCAGCAATGTGTGCGGGTCAGCCAGCGGATACAGTCTGGGTCATCTCAGGGAGACCCTTCAGCAGAAGAACTTCCCAAACAGCGCTGCCGGGCCCCTGCTTGTGATCACTATGGCAACAACAAGTGCAATGGCTACTGCAATGAGTGTTACCAGTTTAAACAGCTCTATGGGTAATGTGCCTTGATAAGCATCATGCCTCTTGCCTTGCCAGAAAACAAAAACCCACAACCCAATATTGAAAATGGTGCTACATCCAAAACACTCATTTATCCTTTCTGGTCTTCTTCATGGCCTGTGAAAAGGGTGTGTGACTTTGACAGGAAATGATAAGCTGAATTTTATATATTTGCATGTGCACATGAGAGAGAGAGAACGCATGCATCTAACGGCACAAAGGACAATAGTGTGTGCAGTCAAGAATTTCATATCCTGGGACAGAAGAGCAGTTTGTTTTCCACAGAGGTGGGCTTGGGCGGAAAGTTCATGCTGAATACTTGGCTAAAGGCCTAAAATTCTTTGGACTTCTGCTGAATACGGAACCATACAGAATGAGTATAGCTTCTATACTACGCATTGTGTTTTTTGTGTGTGACCTTTTTGCTGGTACCTCATGCCCCCTGCGTGAATACTGAATTTCCAGATGTAGAGTAACCTGACTCAAGGTTTGAATTGAAGAGTTTTTTGCAGAACAGCCAACAGCCTGGGGCAGTTGTCCCTAAAAATGCTGATTGCTCATGGATGAAATTTCATGGGAGCTGAGAAAGAAATAAAGTGTGTTAGCAAGATGTGTGAGAAATGTTCTTTGTGTGTGTGTCTGTGTGTGTGTGAAAAGCTGGTTGTTTTGTTTTTTACTTTTTCCAAATCAAACCTGAATATATGTATAAGAGTAAAAGGTTTGGCCATCTGATGTTAACCAGAGTTTTTTTATTTAATGTTCTGTATGTGTTTGAGGATATAAGAGCTAAAGTCTAGTTACTGGAATACAGTGACATAGAAATGTGAAAGGAATTTGGGTATGCTTCCATTACCTCCAGATATGGAAAGATGGGAAAGCAACCAGAGGATTGAAAAAAAGGTTCCCTGCATATAGATTGGCATAGAATGAATTTTGGCAGAGATAAAACAGGGCCTCTTCTGTATGCATAGAGGGTAGGGATTATTCACACCCTAAACAAGTCCTTATATATGTTTTGTGTCTTTTTTCTCAAAACAATCAGTTGACCTCTGAGCTGTTTTTTCCTCTTTGGCATTACAAGGTGAATTTATGAAGAGAGCCGAGGTGGCCCTGCCTCTGAGGGAGCTCCATTTTGAATTGCTGCACTTGCTATTGAGCCTCCAAAATGGCTTCAGCCATTTTCTCTTTCCTCCTTTCCAGCCCTCACATGAGGAGTAAAGTATACTGAAGGCAGCTTCAAAAACACTGCTCCTGCCCAAACCTTATCAGTTTTCATTTTGTTTTGGATCAGATTTGAAGCAATGTGCCCCTTGACTCATTACCCTTAGCTGTTCTCTGCCTAACAGCACATTCTTTTGAGCCAAACAAAATATTGTTCATTGGGGTCTCTGTATCGAGTTCATTTAAGATCCCTGTCGACCCATGAATCGCTTTTGCTTTGACTATCAATCTTGGTTCTTTGTTTAGTTGTATAGAAGCTTTCATTTCCTATTATTTTCTCCTTAATAATAATCAGTTTCAGTGTATGTTCCCTTTGCTGTTGGACTTTTCTATATATACCTTTGTGAACAAATGTGAAGATATGTTAAAATATTTATATTTCAGAAGTGTAATTTTAAATTTGCACATTCTAAGTGTAATAATTTACTCTTTATTTCACTTCCCTCTGACAACCTGTGTAAATCTTATCACTGAGTGCAGAGATGGAGGAATAAATAAATTATTTAAGAATGTATTTTAATTTGTTTTTTTTTTACTTTTGTCAGAAAACATTGTGTTCAGTCCAGGAACTGTGTGGGTCAGTGGGGACAAGTATCTGTGGCAGCCCCATGCCACCCACCATGAAGGGATATTAAGGGTGTTTGGGTTCAGAAGCCCTATTTGCCTATATTGGCATCAGAAGGTGAAGGAAGTAACATTCAAGCTGAGCACCCTTTAATTGCTATGACTTGGCCAAGCTGACCTTGTTAAGAACATAAAAGCCCCACTGGATCAAGCTGAAAAGTTACCTAGTTCATCCTCCTCCTTCTGCACTTTCAAACCAGTTTCCAAGATGAATCACCCATGCAATGGCATTAGTTTTGCAGCACATGTGAATGCATGCATACCACTAATGCTCCCAGCCACTGATGCACAGGGGCACAGTTTTTAAAGCCACGTCTCTCACACAAAAGTCAAACGTTCTCCTCCTCCAGTATCATTTGCCTCAAAATTAGTGTCTTCACCTTGAGAACCAAAAGGAACTTCCTGAGGTTCTGGCTGACACCCTGAGACCATACGACCATAGGACTCTCACCCGCAGGCAACAGCAGAGGACCGCTTCCTGCCCAGGCCCAACAGTAATGCCTGTCCTGAGCCCTGCAATTTTTTTCCCCTGGAGTTCTGATTGGGCAGCTAGCTAGGCCTAGCTACCATTCTGATTTCCTGCAATGCTCTAGACAGGTAGCACTCAAAGGATGCTATGGAAACAAGGACACCAGATCTGGTTCTATTCAGAACCCTGCTGCTGATCAGGAACCACACATGGAGGTTGTAAGCCGCTAAAGGGTGCCTTGCTATGAGACAAACCTGGGGCTGACTCCTCTGGGATGTTCACTGCATTTTCTTGCTTTTTCTTTTAATTTATATGCCACTTTTTTCATCACAGCAGGCTCACAGAGGCTCTCAATCAATTGAAACAACAATATTCACAATTAAAACATAGAGTGCTTAAAAACAAATTTCAAAACTACAATTTTAAATTTTTTTTAAAAAATTCTTAAATCCCTGATAAATGCAGCAATTCTAAACTGCTACCTATGGCTTAAAAGCAAAGCTGAAAAGGTCTTTTCCTGATGATAGAAGGGCAAGTGGAGAGTCAATCTCTTCCCAGGCGAATGCATTCCATAACCTGGGAGCAGGCACTGAAATGGCCCTCTCTTGTGTCCTCAGTAAACAAGTCTGTGAGGGTGATGGGACTGAAAGAAGGGTTTACCCAGAAGAATATAACCCACCTCCCCTGTATATCATTGCCTTGCCTTGCCTTTCCTTTCATACAAAGAGAGTATGGCTTAATAAGAAGCTGATGGCATATACCAAGATCCAGTCTATAGAGTCTGTGTCCTGAGCACACTCCTGTACTGCAGTGAGTCCTGGACCCTTTGTGTATGGCAGGAGAGGAAGCTGAACACATTCCACATGCATTGTCTCAGATGCATTTTTGGTAACACCTTGCAGGACAAAGTTCCAAATAGAGTAGTCCTAGAACGAGCTGGAATTTTTAGCATTTTTACATTGCTGAAACAACAACATCTACATTAGCTTGGGCATGTCATGAGAATGACTGATGGTCAGATTCCAAAAGATCTCCTGTATGGAGAATTAGTGCAGGTAAATCGCCCCAGAGGGAGACTAGAGCTGCAATACAAGGATATCTGCAAGCGGGATCTGAAGGCCTTAGGAATGAACCTCTACAGATGGGAAACCTTGATGTCTGAGCGTTCAGCCTGGAGGCAGGCAGTGCATCATGGTCTCTCCCAATTTGAAGAGACACTTGTACAGCAGGCTGAGGCAAAGAGGCAGTCCTGAAACCAGCAAAACCAGGGAGCTGGACAGGGGACAGATGGTATTTGTCTTCAGTGTGGAAGGGATTGTCACTCTCAAACTGGCCTTCTCAGCCACACTTAGATGCTGTTCCAAGACCTCCATACAGAGCACATTACCATAGTCTTTCGAGACTGAAGGATACCTACTAATTCCCTTCTATAAACCTTGTGATAGAATGTTGTGATTGAAAAGGCACACTTGATTTTTCTCTGTTGACCACATATCACAGTGCATGTGGCAATCCATGCTACTGTTACACAATGCCCAGCTTTGCAACACAGCTTCCTTGCCAAGGGCATGTTCAAAGCAAGCACCACCCTTCCTTTTTCTTTTGCCCCACCCACTGTCACTTGTGTCATCATGAAGTACCAGAGATGGCTAAGAATATAAAAGTACAGGCAGTGAAGGGGGACAGCCAGTTCTGTTCTTTTAAAATAGACATTCTGCTATCATACATTAGCCAATATTGGAGATGGAATTACTACAACATGGCCCAAGTACTATGTAGACTCAAAGCAGGAATGAAAACATCCAAAGTGGAAGCAGACAGGGGGAGAAAACAGGGAATATTCCCACAGCAATGTCAACAAAGACAATGGCTGTCTGGGTCTCTCACCCATCCCTCCACCAAAGGGGAATAATGTAACATGAAGCAGTGAAGATTCTGGACATGGTGTTTTCTACAGTAAGAGGCTATATGGTCTATTTTCCTTCCCCTTTAACCTTACAATTTAAAAAAATGACAATTGAACCACAGGAGATCATGACTTCTGTGATATCTGATGGCATGTATCATGTGGATCATGAATGGAAATTCAAAATGGCAAGTTGCCATTCAGCAAAGGAAACCACTGTACAAGCTCCAGGTGGTTTTCCCATTGTTGCCTCATTTAGTAGGAAAAGACTGGTTCTCCTTTTAAAGTGAAGGTTAATAAGACAAAGGTCCCTCTACCTTTCCTAAAGCATGAAACAAGGACAAGTGAATGCTTCACACTTGGGATACATAATCATTGTCGTTTAGTCGTTTAGTCGTGTCCGACTCTTCATGACCCCATGAACCAGAGCACGCCAGGCCCTCCTGTCTTCCACTGCCTCCCGTAGTTGGGTCAATTTCATGTTGGTTGCTTCGCACACACTGTCCAGCCATCTCATCCTCTGTCGTCCCCTTCTCCTCTTGCCGTCACACTTTCCCAACATCAGGGGCTTTTCCAAGGAATCTTCTCTTCTCGTGCGATGGCCAAAGTACTGGAGCCTCAGCTACAGGATCTGTCCTTCTAGTGAGCACTCAGGGTTGATTTCCTTTAGAATTGATAGGTTTGTTCTCCTTGCAGTCCAGGGGACTCTCAAAAGCCTTCTCCAGCACCACAATTCAAAAGCATCAATTCTTCGGCGGTCAGCTTTCTTTATGGTCCAGCTCTCACTTCCATACATCACGACAGGAAAAACCATAGCTTTGACTATTCGGACTTTTGTTGGCAAGGTGATGTCTCTGCTCTTTAAGATACATAATAGTAAACTTTATTGTAGGGACCTTCCCTTTGAAATGGAAAGTAGAATCAGTACTTTCCTGCAAGGGCAGTCCCTTTGAGGTGTCAAAGCACAACTTTCTAGCTGGTTGGTTTTGGACTTCATCCAAGTACAAAGTGCCATTCCCTTGTCGTATAAAAAAGGACTGAGTGAGAGCATTGATCCTGATTCAAAATAAGATGTGTACTGCCTGTTTACCTTGTTCTTAAAGGAAAATGTGGGAGTTTTCAGCCACTGCTGGTACTGCTGTGTCACCAAATTTCAGCAGATCAGCAGCAACAAAAAAGCTTGGGTGGGTAGACAATAAAGAACAAGGATGCTAATGGGCTGTACAATATGTCTGCCAATCTCTGCTGTGACCTATATGAACACTCCAAATCGTGCACCTCCAGGCCTAAATTCTTTGTCCTTGTCATACCATCACTAGATGCATCTTTCAATGAAGAAGAGTCACTCAAAGCCACCCAGAACCCAACAAGGCTGAGGGACTGCTAGATC